GCTGCTCTCTTGTCAGTTAATATTGAGAGGTTGCTGGAATAGCAAAAATTCTGGGAAAATAAAAGGCTTTTCAAGTGCTGAGGCAAAGGAGGGTTACACAGTTTATTCCTGTGTGGTTCCTACCAGGTTTGATTTGCAGTGTTTCACCTCTGTACAGCCAGGAAGGAACCTATGGCCTTCAGTTTGGTTTAGTTTATTTGTAGATGCCTCAATAGGCATGTAGAGCCCTAAGCTTTCACAGAATGATTCATGGATGTCTCACATTTCCCAGAAATATTTGATTCTTACAATGACAGGAATGGTAATAAAAACAAGAAACCACACAATACTTGTATCGATTTGTACACATGATGTCAGCCAGTTCCATCTGTACTTTGAAATGCCATTTATATACCTGCACAGTAGGTGGAACAAGTACTAACAGCTGATCAGCAGTCTGCCCCATATCCTTCAAAAGTGCTTAATAAAAAATTTGTTTCATTTGCTGCCCAGCAGATCTGCKAAAAGCAAGCTTCTTTCCATTTCTGAAGTGTTCATGCTAGACTGCACAATGAATAATGTCTAAGAATCAGCCTGAGATTTGAAAYGTTATGGTGTCTGTTTGGACCTTTGACTTTCCTGGACATAAAAGCAACTCCAGTTCAATCTCCTATGCATACAGGTTCAAATGTTTCAACTTTTAACATGAAAAATAATAATGCATATCTGCATATGTGTTTGCAGGTGCATAAATTCATATGTATCAATTAGAAAATTGTTTACTGTACAGGACAAGGATAAGTAGGACAGAAGCAGCTTTACCTCAGTGTGTTCCTGCGTTCTGAGAGCTGCTSTCTCCCGTGCCAGCTCCTGGTGTTCCAAGGTACCAAGGAGGCAATTTGTGAGCAGATGACTCATCCACACTCGGAGTGACCAGCGGCAGGGTGGGCTGAGCAGCTCAGGTAGCAATATGTGCATACATTCTCCCCGAAGCTTTTGGAAGGCAGAGGAAACATTTTCAAAGTGTAAACATTGTCCTTTGACAGCAAGATGAGCATGAAGGAATAACAATCTGGCAGGCATCCCATTTACACAGAAGTGTAAAACTATTTCACTTACATTTCTGCTATGTATTCCCTACAAAAATAATTAATTCACTGGGAAATAAAGCTTGTAAGAAGAAAAGCCAATGAAACCTTGAAATACAAATTTTCCCTACAAAGTAGGGGCAGTTTTAAATAGTTTCCCTATTACCCCTGAGTTAATTTATAATCACATGCACAGCATAAAAGCTTGTTTCTTCTTATCTAGCATGTAGATGCTGAACAGAAACAAATGGGGCGCACATTTCTCTGTCAGGGGCTGAACAGATAGCAGGTATCAGATTAACTGCAAATACCAGAGACTCAATTGCAGTCTTGCAGCCTTTGTGCCAAATTTGTCATATTTTAACTTGCCACAGAAACTTCAGTCAGACTATTTTCATTTCAAAAATCCTCAATTTCAAGAAAACAAACACATTTTTCAAGTTTTCAGCAGCTGCAAAAGATCTAATTTTCAGCAATAATGTTCCTGAATGAATCAGAAATTTCATCTTTCATCTCACTGCTAATGATACCCTACAAGGTGATAAAATTATCAGCTGGAAAGTGTAATCTTGCCACCACAGTTCTCAATCTGCTATTCACTTTTTTCAAGCCTGTTGTCCAGTTCATGCCATTTTCTCAACAAATTTCAAAATAGTTATTTTTTTTGCTTAAAAGCCCAAAGCACGTGTTGCTGACAAGCTTTTCATAACATTTTCATTACTCGCATGAGAGCTTTGTCTACCAAGAAATGTCTCTCCCTGTCACTGTGATCACTGTTCCTTTTTAAAGTGTGCTCAGACCACTTATAAAATTCTAATTTCCAACTAATTTTCTTAGATATGTTTATTTTCAAACTGGTTTGATAATCAATCTCAACAGAATTTGCTGGTTTGATCTTTTCTGATAGAGAAATTTGTACGTTTGAGTGTGGGACCATTTCTCTTCATAAACCGAAAACAAATACAAGAGTACATAGCTTTGTGGTGCAAAGAATTTCAAAACTGCTGAGAAGGGGAATATATCTGTTTCACTCTTGAAAGTTTCAAATCCACAAAGAGAAAACATTAACTGAATCTGGCCAAAGCCTTTTTCAGCTCCTGAAACCATCTAGGTCTGTGACCATGCAAAGGCTGCTTTCAGCATTTTAGAAGGTAGGCTGGAATGTTCTCAATGGCTTAGTATTTTTTTTTTAATGCCTTTGACTCTAACTGCAAATTCCTTATGAAGAACATTATAATGGCATTTTCTTGCAGGGAAATCCCAGACTGAAATTAATATACAACTAATTCAAAGACTGCAGTCCACTGCCCAAGTCTCCTGCTTTGCCATCAGAAATCCTCGCTGCCATACAAGAATTGCTGGGCTAGACTCAGGAGTGAGATAATAATAGACAACTAAGGGAGGACATCCCAGAACAGCTGCTGTGCTGTATGGCCAACTTGGTCCCAAAAGAAAGTGTATTAAACTCCCCCAACTTCCAGGGTGAAAGAAAAAAGAAAAAAAAAAAAAAATCCAGGGTGAAAGAAAAAAGAAAAAAAAAAAAAAATCTCTTTCTCTGACTCACATCCCAATCTAGTCTTAGTGAATGAGACAGATTGTTTATGTTTTTACACAATAGGAGTCTAATTTGGAACAGGGGGCTATTGAACAAAAGGCAATTGTTTAACAGAAAATGGGACTTATCTAATTCACAACAAAGCAAAGTGAAGTAAAAGGAGTAAGGAGTRTTTGGTGTCCCCATGTAGCACTGGCCTTTTAATACTCAGGAGATGCTTATTAAAAGAACTGCTAAAATAAACCTTTTAAAAGAAGACAAATTGGATGTGTTCTATTCAGCTGGGGGATGCTGATGGGACACAGCATATGCTTCATTTTATAAAGTGAGCTCTTCATGCACATTTTGTGGAGGAAATTTGRATTCTCCTGTTAATATTTTGCCAAGCTTCTTTTTCCTTCATTGAAAAAGGAACAGGACRTTATTCCAGGAGGAGATGCAAGGTAAAACACAGAACACTTAAAAGTAAATAAAGTGATCCAAYGGGGCCAGAAAAAGAAAAGATAAARAAGAGCCCTAAACTTGTAAGTGTAGTAACATATGTAATAGTAATAGAAACATATTTACAAAAATGGATATTAGTGGTGTTTATAAGCTAAGTACAGTTTTAATATTCTGAGTGATGCACACAAATAACTCAAACATGTCTAAGATGAAACGCATTTGAAAAACAGGATAAAGTTTCAAGTGGTAGGTTTTAATCAGGATCAGAGAGAAGAACAAACTCCAGGTCCTGATTTACTGAATTCCCTTTTCTTTTCCCTGTTCCACTTAGCAATTCATACAAACCTTTAATTTTTCATTGTTGCAGTGGTTTTGTCAGTGAATAAATTAATGCAGATAAGTGGTTCTGAATATCAACCAAAAAACTGAGCTATCCCAGCTCATGATGCATTCACAGAGATCTTTGGTATATTCAGAGAGCACTTCTAGAGATTCTCAGGAACTTGTGTTCCTAACTGTTCCAAGGCAGACCTGGATCTCTGGCAGCGTGCAGAGCCCACCTATGTGGATTATGTCACACTACTGCCCATGACAACAGGGAAAGGGACTCAGGGACAGAGGGYATCTGGTATTTTTAATTACATCATTGAATTCCCTTGGTTTTGTAGCATCACAGTCTCTTAAACACAAAACTTGAGCAGAGAACCCCAGTGTTGGTCTTAATCTAGTCTTAGTCCTGATTAAATACATGTTTTCCTAGTTTTATTCAAATATGTTATTCCATTTATTGATAATTAATATATTTTCTTAAGAGCTGGTAATGAAAATGCAGTTTATGCAACAAAAYATTATTAAAACAATTAATTTACTTAGGTGCATTTGTCCCCCTGCATTACCATGGAAAGTAAATTGACCCAATTCTTTTGTTTACAGTGTAGCTAAATGACATAGGTGTTACATCATTCATTGCTTTTATGAGAAGTAATAAGGCCACAGGAAAAGCTAGAGCAGCATGAACTTTTTTCCTTTAGGGCTGACTGCATTAACACACTTACTGAAGGAAGGGACAGTAATGATCCAGTCAGTACTTATCAGGACAAAATTAGTAATGATATATAATCTCAGTGGTTTAAAAGAAAGGAGCTCCAGTTCTAACAAAAGTCCTGGTAATGCCTTGGTTTAAAGTCTGAGCGAAATCTGTGCGTGTAACCCTCCAAAACAGCTTAGTATTAAAAATCAAAAAAACAGAAAAAGAAAAACGAACAAAAAAACAAATCTAGAAATCTGAACCAGGACCAACTTTTACTGTTCAATGTYCGTATATCAATGTTTAGACTCTCGAGATGGCTGTCCAATTCGTAAGAACTGATCAACAGGAAAACKGTGAGAAAGGTTAAAACCCCCAGTAAATTGTAAACTGTAGGGTTCCCCCCCTCCCCAAAGTTCTAATGATGTAGAAGCTGCAAAATAATCTCCCTGTGAACCATAAACATAATAAAAGCTGAGGCCATTTCTAACATAATCTCTATCAGCAAGATGCCAGCGCTTTTCCAGATTTCCTAACGGGTCCCTGCTAATTCCATGCCAAAACTAGCAGTGGATTTCTTCCTTTTAATCTCCCCTAATGCCTTATTCGATTATTGTCACTGCTCTCCGACCGCGCACCGTCCCTTCAAACCCTAATTCCCCCCCTGGAACGGTCAGATGAGGCTGGCCGGCGGTGGCGAATCCAAGGGACACGCACGGCCGCGGACACCCGGCACGTCCCCACCCCGGGCAGAGGCCGGCCCAGCAGCGCGGGGCCGGGGCTGAGGGAGCCGGGCTCCGCCACAGCCTGACCGCCCGAGCCCCGGGCCCGGCGGGACCATGAGCGCCGACACCGGCTCCAGCTGACGGGTCTGAGGGCACCTGAGCGGCCCCGCCACACCTGCGGCATGGCTCTGCTGCTCGCCTGGGCTTGTGTCGCTGTGAGGTGAGTGACACCGACCGCCCGCCGCCCCTCGAGGGCTCCCCCGGCCCGGAGCAGCGCCCGCCGGGCTCTTCCCTCCCGGGCCGGGGCCTCGCCAGGAGCGGCTTCGGGGCTGACGGGGCCTCGCCTCTCCCCGCAGCGTGGGGACGGCGCTGGGGGACCAGGGAGACGGGGCGGACCTCTACTCGGAAAACATCACCCGGATCCTCGACAAGTTGTTGGACGGCTACGACAACAGGCTCCGGCCGGGATTTGGAGGTAGCGGGGCAGCCCCGTCCCCTCGGGAGCCGGCGGCTGGGGAAGGGCGGGCGGGAGCTGTCCCGGGAGGAGCGGCCGGGGCCGGAGGGGGCGGTGGGACCCCAAAAGCGGTGGGGAAGCGGCAAAGCTGCCCGTGCCCCGCTGCCCCGGCTCCTGCGGGTGCCTCCGGTCCCTTCGAGCCGGGGACCCGCTGCCAGCCCCTGTCCGTGTCCCACAGGCGCCGTGACAGAAGTGAAGACSGACATCTACGTGACCAGCTTCGGGCCGGTGTCCGACGTGGAGATGGTAAGGGACCCGCTCGCCGCCCCTGCTCTCTTTTCCCGGGATTCATTACGGTGGCATCTGAGTTGACCGTCATTAAAGCAGATTACGAGGCTTAATCTCCTTGGCAATCCCTAGGGCCCGGCAGAGCACTTTGGCCGGAGCTGCATACAGCTATTTCCCGGCAGCGGCACCGGGGCTGGGCGCACACGGCCTCAGGTGAGGGGCCGCAGGTGGAAGGTGCCTCTTTAACCCATGAAGAAGATGGTGAGCACCCGTGTCCCAACACAGCTCTGCGGAACACTGTCCCGTACGGGAACACTCATGAGCAGCTGTAGGGCAGTGGTGCCGCTGCTGAGCCAGCTGTGCTGCTCATGCTGGCTGCCCCAAAATCAGGCAGCGAGGGGCTTGGGTGAGCTCCGGCAATTACAGCAGCAGACCCCCAGGAGCGGGTTAAATCATGGGAGTGAGGATGGCTTTACTGTTCTTTTTCTGGAGATTGGCTTGGGCTATTTTTGCCCTTGTGCACTCCCCTAACACTCACTCACCTGAGCCTGCAGTCCAGTTTTTAGGCAAGGAACTGTGGGCTCCAAGTAATACCAAAGTTTTTCGCCTGCTCGTCATCAGTCAATCTAAGAGAAGGCATAACCTTGCATTCTCATAAAATTTGCTCCCAGCAAGGTTTAGCTCTGTTTCCTAAGCAACTTCTGCAGCCAGCTCCTTYCTGAAGGCTTGTGAAAATATTACTAAGGATTCTTGGAAAAAAAATCCCATAGATTAATATTAACTTGACACCATAATCCTACTGTGATGTGGTTCAGATCAGTCCTTTCTTTGTGAATATCCAAAGGAAGCTGCAGAAGAGTCACCAAGCGTGTATTTTTGTTTCTGGCAATTAAACATTGATAGTTTGGGTTTGCACTTTGAAAGGATACTAAGTTAAATATTTGTGTTTCCTTAGACCTCAGTCATTTTGAATTAAATTCTCTCTGAGAGGACAATGAGGGTTTTTTTTTTGCCTTACTCATATCAAATTATCTGATGTTCACCGATTCATTTGTAACWATTCTTCAAATAATAAGAAAATAGGATATGTTTTCATGGACAACTTTTTTTAGTAACTACTTAATGGTAATAGGATTGAGTGTTTAAGCAGTAAGTGAAATGCCATTGACATGTGTGTTAGGTTGTCTCATGGAGTTACTGTCCACACAGCTGCTGGGACTGCTGCCTCCCACACAGAAGTCAACCCCTGTTTATTTTCCATAGGAATACACAATGGATGTCTTCTTTCGTCAGACGTGGACTGATGAGAGGTTGAAGTTTAGTGGGCCAACTGAAATTTTGAGATTGAACAATTTAATGGTCAGTAAAATTTGGACACCAGACACATTTTTTAGAAATGGAAAAAAATCAATTGCTCACAATATGACAACTCCTAACAAACTTTTCAGAATTATGCAGAATGGAACTATTCTTTACACAATGAGGTGAGAGCCTRTTCTTCTACTTTTGACCTGTACAGATTGACATATATTTTTGATTCTATCAGCATTGGCCTGCATACCTTTTTTTTTTCATTGTCATATAATATTGTATGTTCCAGACTAACCATTAATGCTGATTGTCCTATGCGGTTGGTGAACTTCCCAATGGATGGACATGCTTGTCCACTGAAATTTGGAAGCTGTAAGTTTTTCTGTATCTTTCAGTTTGTTACATTTGGTCTACATRTATGAGAAGGTCAGGAGATCCTAAGACATTACTTAGTGACAGCTGAAATTTTTTATTGTATTTTTATACTAGAATTTTACTTTTTTCTCTAAGACTCATGTCATTCATATGTACATGGATTTATTCACTGAAGGGTGACTGTTGAAACATATTTTATTTATTATTCTTACTCATCTGTGAGAGTTGGTCCCTCAACAGCTCATATTTCCTACATTTACTGTATGACTTAAAGCTTTGAAAATACCATCTGTGCTAATTAATTTTTAAAATATTTAATTGAGCTGTGGTAATCAGTATGTACATTTTATAGCAAATTAAGAAACAAAACCTAGTTCTTCTCAGGTCCTACCTCAGCCATTCTCTTACTGCAGATATATATTTTTTTCATTTTATCATGAATGAGGTTAGAAACTGACTGAAGTAAAATGCATGTTTCTATGGGTATTTGAATATTCTATGTATTTTTTCAATTGCTCATAAAATGCATAATTAGTAATGGTAGTTTCCCCGTCTGTTAACTCAGATGCTTATCCAAAAAGTGAAATAATTTATACYTGGAAAAAAGGACCACTGCATTCAGTAGAAGTACCACAGGAGTCTTCCAGTCTTCTCCAGTATGACCTCATAGGACAAACTGTATCTAGTGAAACAATTAAATCTAACACAGGTAAGATGGAGCCATGTGGAAACTGCYGATGTTATGAAACATCTTGATAATAAATTTCAGGGTTTTTTTCATATAGGACCAAATTAGTCTAACTACCTTTTGCTATTTTAAAAAGTAAAATCCTTGGAAAGACTCTAAATATTCAGTACATTGGCACTTAAAAGACAGCTTTTCAATACAGTCTCTTTAAATACAGATTTTCTTTTCTTAAGATTTCCCCCTGCCTCCCCATCCCAGTAAAAACAATACATAAAATGAATATTATTCTCCTCTGTTTCCATAAGGTCACTTTACCTTTTTTTTTTAAGCAGCTTATTTTTATTATGCACTAGGAGGTCTGTAAGTGATTTCATCAGAACATATTATGTTGGGTTTAAGCCAATAATGTTCACTCACATGTTGCCAAAATAATGCTGACATACTTGTCTCTTAACAGGTGAATATGTAATCATGACAGTTTATTTCCACTTGCAAAGGAAGATGGGCTACTTCATGATACAGATATACACTCCATGCATTATGACAGTCATTCTTTCTCAGGTGTCTTTCTGGATTAACAAGGAGTCTGTTCCAGCCAGGACAGTTTTTGGTATGCTGTGTTAAGGTCTTTGAATGGCTCAGCATCACATCTACCATTCATTCATTCCTTTCATTGCTTGTTTGTTTTAGGAGAATATTCACTCCAGCTGCTCTATTTTCATCTTCAAAGGAAAATAGGCTACTATCTCATTCAGACATACATTCCATGCATCATGACTGTAGTCCTGTCTCAAGTTGTGTTTTGGATCAACAAAGAATCTGTTCCAGCAAGAACCGTGGCTGGTATTTGTGTTTTTCCTTTTGTCATTCATTTCATTCACTGTATTGRATCCATTGTATCAATCACCTACTGTAATCCAGGGGGGATTAGGAAAGGCACCTAGTAGGTTTCAGTCAGCAAAAGCAAATACTAAATTGAAAGCAAATGATAGTCAATTTGCTTATGAGGGTCAGAATGTTTGACTCAGAATGTTTGGTTAGCCAGACTTGTTTGTGATGCTTTTCAAGCCATTTTTGTATGCAGGAAGGGACAATTTCAGAGTAAATGTCAACTTTTTCATTTTTTTAAGAGGATTGTTTTCCTGTGTATTTATTGTCTTGAGAATCCAAAATGAGATAAAGCTTTAAAAGAAAAAAAAAACAAACACATGGAATGGAGTTATTACCTGACATAAGGTACCTCATCTAATACTCATTCTGGACTACTCTCTTCCCCTTGGCTACACAGTTATCTAAACAACTAACAAGGGCTTTAGATGGATAAAGATCAGTGAGATGAATAATGTCCCTAGCCCAGTTTGGAGTTAAAATGGAAAAGGTGTTTCCATATTGCATGGCAGGGCGKTTTTTTCTTTCCAGTGGTTTGAATTAATGCTCTCAAAGCTTTGAGTCCCTGGTTCATACATATATGAGATTTATACCCCAAATGTGTTGCTACCTGATTTGGCTTTATGTTTCATCTCTGCACTGTAAGCGTTACATCCTCTGCATTTTAAGTAAAATACATTTACAACACGGTGGGCATGGGAGATAACTCTACATGCTTGAAGAAATGTGCAAATAACTGTGTAGCTGATTTGGTAATAATTGCATCAATATCCCAAAYATTGGGATAACAGATCTTAGATGTTGTACTGAAGAGTAAACATGTATGTAGATGTCTATTTTACTCTTTTCACAAAATATCTTTCTTTCTCAGTATTGTGGAAAATAGTCACATTGGCATTTTAAAAGAATATTTCAATCCTTATTCCATTTGTATTTCTCCCAGGCACAGTCTGAGTTTGCAGTCCTTGTTCAAAATCCCATGGATTCTGAATACCTTAATCTAAGGAAAAGACAGCAAATTCCTTATGACAAAAAAAAAAGACTTCCAGTCTTTTCCAGTGAAAAAGAAAAGTTTAAAAATGGAGAGGATTTAAAATGCATCATATTGCAAATACTTGAATTATAAATTTTCACTTTTACTTGTAAGTCCCAAAACCAAGTTTGAGAGAAGAGAAATTAATAGTAGAAGAACAGTGATGTGCCTAAACCAGTTTATCAGCACAAAATAATTTAAGGACTCTGTTTACCTCCAAAATGAATGCCAGTTATCGGATTTCAGTGTTTGCATTATGTAACACATTGTTCAAAACTTAGCAAGAAGTGTTCGAAGTGTAAAGACAAGGGTAAACAATCAGCAGTTGCACAGTTTACCAACTGTAATTTGGTATTCAGTTTGATAAAGAAGCTATCCACAGTGCAGAGCATTTCATCAATATTCACTCCACATTGAGAGAATTCTTATCTCTATCTGTAATAGAATAGGAGACCTATTCCTAAGTTAAATTCCTGCTGCAGTAAGTTTTTATTCAGACACAGAATATATCAATTTTATTATTAACTAGCACATAGATGGATTCTAATCTAATCACACATCATTTCAAAAAGTTCATTTGGGATCTTTTAAATTGAAATATAGCTCAGCATACTTATATTCATWTTATAAAATGAGTCTGGCAGATTTGGGAGAAGTAGGGATCCTACATATTTCTATACCATCTCCAATTTGTATACATTAAAACATGTTAAAGAATGACATTGTGATGTAGTTAACCTCAGACAGCTGGCAAGCCACATCATGTGAAAGAGCTGCAAAAAACTCTGAAATAATAAGTCACCCTGTCTGGCTGCTGCAATATGCTATGACACTGCATCCTTTCCTCTGAGCATCACTCATAGCACATTGCTTCATCAACACAACATGGCCATCACAATATGACATTATAACATCTTCTATTTTCCCACCTACCCTTTCCCAACTGCAGAAAATAGGAGWAGAGGATATTCTCCACCTTACCGTCTTTAAATACCCACAGTTTTCACATTCTAGCAAGCATAATTATAAGTAAATATGAGTCACAGAGGCTTGTATGTAAATGATTGAGTTTGTTCTTGCACTTTTTGCTCRTATCAGGCAGCAGTAGGAAGTAAGTATATTTCCTACATTATTAATGCTGTACACTCCAAAACAGAAAGAATAAATTCATGAATTCATGTGAAGAACACCATGGGGCCCATGAGCTACATGACCAGATTTGCTCTGTGAAAATAGATAAGCAGCTCTAGAGAAGCAGCTTTTCTGTCCTTYCCTATCTGTAACTACAGGCGCTTTCAAATGAAGATACTGTTAATGAATCTTAAAAAATGTATCCAGTGATTAAAGACAACAGCTCAGGGGACCAAAGTCTTATTGCTTGAAATGTTTGGATCAAACTCCAACTGTTTTTAATGTAGAATTTGATTGATTCAGTSAGGGTTCTGTAAGCCATGGTTTGTCTTGTACAACAACAGAAGAAAGTGAGGATCACKGTTGGGGAATGGCAATATGTGAATCTAGGGTTTTTGCCAAACATTCCACTTACTAACCCCCCAAGGAAAGTCTTCTTCCTATTTTGAGCCTGGATTTTGTTATTGCCATGTTTATCACAACTCTAAGAACTGCACCACATAAAATGTTGGTATCATACCTTTCAGGCTGCTCAATGCAATAAGGAAGTTTTTCCAGAGCTTTTAGATGTTGAATCCAGTATACRTGAGTTATTTAAGGATTCAAAATACTTAGGAGTTTTGTTGGTTAGCTAGTACTTAGGATGACAGTTAAAACCAAAAACGATGTTGTGCTTTGKTTTTTTTCATGTATATGAAAAGTTCTAATGACCCCATTTCTTTCTCTTCTTTTGAAGGAATCACCACAGTTCTCACAATGACCACTTTAAGCATCAGTGCTCGCCATTCTCTGCCCAAGGTGTCCTATGCCACCGCCATGGATTGGTTCATAGCCGTGTGCTTTGCCTTTGTCTTCTCTGCACTTATTGAGTTTGCAGCTGTCAACTACTTCACCAATCTCCAGACTCAGAGAGCGATGAGGAAGGCAGCCAGGGCAGCAGCACTGGCAGCAGCACTATCAGCAGCAGCTACTGTACCGGCAGAGGACGAGATTGTCTCGGTAATTGCTTGCTTTTCTGATAATAAGCATCATATAGGAACAGGCAGCTGAAGTAGTGAATGCAAAACAATATTAAAGTGATCTTAACCTGGAACAGATTATGTAACCAGATCATGTCTATTTATCAAAGACATTGTTCTGATTCCAGAAAATGAAAATACCTTATTTATTTGTAGTGTTTATTTGAATTTGCAATACGATTTTCTAGAGAAATGTTTATTTGGCAAGATATTTAAGGAAAGCCATTGGACTGTTATCCATGATACTTCTCTTGAGCAATGCTGTAGGCAGTGTGCTCAGGCAACTGTGGTTCTCAGTAAGTCTGCAGAATTTGTGGGACTGTGTACAATGGAATGAACATGTGCATTGGCCAGATGATTATGGGATCACTGTAGTACAAGGCTACATACCATAAGTGGGTCATCTGGAAGATGGGTAATTAGCCTTTACATAAACTTGGCATCTGTTACTTTTATAAAAATCTGTGTTGGTGGAAGCTTGGGAAAAAAACATTAATGAAGGATAGATTTTAGTACATGCAAAAGACAGGAAGTCTTTCTAGTATCAAAAAAACTGTGTCAGAATTGCTTGCAAATATTATTCCRTACATTTCATGCTAAGCAGTGAATGCTGTCTCACAACATATGTTAAATATATTTATCACTGTGGCCTTCCTGTTTCAAAATCAGTTTTACTACCACCATGATTTCCATTTTTAGAGGAATACCAGAATTTGAAWGACCTTTTGCAAAACCTCTGAATCTGTAATTGAATAAGGAACTCAGTCTAAGAGACGCCTGTATAAAGGCAACACCATACCCACCACAGAGCAATTTTTCCACATTTGCTGATAAATAGCAGTTAAAGTTATAACATTTAAGTACTTTCRAATCAATACATTCATAATTGATAAGTTTTACTGACTTTTTTTGGAGAACAAGCTGTCAGAAAAAAACCTCAAAAAGTGCACTGGGTCATAGGAAAATATTAATGAGGAAAGTATTAATAGCTACTACATAATGAAGAGGAAAAACAGCTCGGACCTGTCCTTCACATACTTCCTTATTTAAGTTTGAGTTAATCATAAGGAAGTTTGCTGGAAAGAAAAAACAAAACAAGACAAAAAATACTACTTCCATTTTCACAGAAGTCCCTGCTGAGCAATATGAAAACAGTTAGGCCAACTGTGCACGTGCTGCTGGTGAATTCACAGCTGCTGCCACCACCCCCCTCACATTCCCAGTCTCAGGAAATCAACTGTTCCAAAAAAAATAATCCTCTGCTTCTGCCCAGATARGCTAAGGAGGACTTGCTCCTGATGATAGCTGCTCCTCCAGATTTACATGGTCTATAAATCACTTCAGACCAAGYTAAGCACCAAAATCAAAATTTCTATTCAACAAACAAATAAAATTTTAAGATGTTAAAAGACTCAAGTTTCTTGTCAAGGTCTTCAGCCACAAACAAGCAAAGAGCCAAACCAAAAACACTCCTTATTTTGTAAATACTAACATGTTTTGTTTTCCAAGTAAAAAACCAGCAGAAAATAAACATCTAGGAATAAAATACACATCTATGAAGCACACTGCAACCATTTGCTCMGAAAATTATTTACATCTAGCTGACAGCATACAAATTTAGAAGAGAAGTAAATCCCATAACATTTAGGTCCCAAAGTAAACTTGGTCTCTAAACCAGCCCACAGTGTCCAGAAAATTCTATAGACCTGATCTTGCTCAAAGTTCTTATTACCTAAGACAGTAATTTTCAAGCCCTGTACACCCATCACTTTTTTTTCACAGGACCAGTTCTCTGTGAGACTATACCTCATCCCTAACAGAAAGAGGTGAGATCATAAAAATGAAGGGTACTTACAACTGAAGGCAAGATAATGTAGTCAAAAAGGCTTCTAGAAGAATTAGCTATTGGACTTAAAAGGTTCCCTTCCTGAAAGGCATTCTGGGAAAAAGGAGTGATTACAGGATAACAGATTTTAAGAAGCTTTTCTTTTTTCATTTCTTTCTTTTTTTTTCCTGTGGTAGAGATAAGGGGGAAGCAACTTTTGTATGTTGTCACATAGATGTACTGCAGTCAGTGATATATTCAGCTGGAGCAGACCTGAAGTGTCTAATTTGAATGCTAACAGTCTATTTAACACAGGCTGATTGCATGAGTCTATGACTCTTTCCTCAGGACTGCATTGTGCTTCTATAGCCACATTACTGATCTTAGGGCAGTTATTTTTTAAAAAGACACACAGCATAATACTCAAGTTTCTTTTTTAATGTAGATTGAGAAAGGCCTTTCTGAGGTCCCAATTTACCCTGTGGTGCCCTATATCTCCCCAGATTGTCCCATTTGTTTGCCTCTAAATTCTTTCAACTCTTTTCCTTTTTTTTTGTGGTTGCTACAGTGCCAAATTCTTATTCTTTACCTCTTTGATAATTTATCTTGCCTCTTCTGCTCTTCTTTCTGTCTTTTCTCCTTATTTTCTCTGCTTCTCTTCTTAAAATATTGTGTTCCAAGTCACTAGGAAAGAAGCCTAAGAGAAGCCATATCTTATACATTTTTTTTGATAGTCTTAATTTGATTTTTAAAAARTCATTTTCTTTTCTCATACCCTGTACTATGGTAACTTGTCTTTTCTAACCTGTGATCTTCTTAATTTCTTTTTACTCTTTTAGATGGCATAGTAACATTTTCCATCTATTTTGTAATGCTAATATTTTTATGTATGATTTTTCAGTGCATGAAATTGGTTAGAATTTCAGGTCTGTGAAGGCACAGGTATAGCAGAGGAGTAGCAGACTGTCTTCTTCATTTGTAGAAGTCAGCTGGTATTTTTACATGAGGACTTTAAAGGTTTACTTAGTTTCAGGGAGGCCATTTCTAAAACTAAAAGTCCAATGTACTTGAGAATTTTTATGGCTRTACAACTGCCAATGGAACTCTGCTACCAGTAGCAACATTAAGAATAACACTGAGACTCTTTTTTATTGACCTATTATTTCAACTTTCTTGAAGAGAGGATAAAGAAAATCGTGGGAATAACGTTAGGATTTCTGAACTAGTACTTTTTGTATGACAGGTAGATCCAGTACTGYATAAGAGAAGCCCAGGGAGACAGGTTTGGTATAAATAAAAATAGAAAAGATTTACAAAACAGTTGGAAATTTTTTCTTCTTGGGTGAGGGCCTAAAATCAAGACAAACACATCTACAGAATATATTCCTTTTTCTTTAATTCCAGATTAAATATTTCTTGAACAAAAACAAACAAAAAATTTCAAAATGTTATCAAGCAGCCTCCTTTCCCCTTCAGTCTAGTTAATTTTATTTAAAATGTTGCTTTATTCAAATAAACTAAACTCTGTCACACAGGTTTTTAAATTGTAGCCAAAAAACCTGTACACTCACAAAAATATATCAGAAGACCAAATTCTGCTCTGCTGTAGAATGAAAGGAGAAATGCTGCAGCCACTGAAGTGTGGTAGGTTCAGTAAGAGAGATGAGGCTGTGCCCATGTGCTCAGTAGAGAGCTGAGAGCCCAGCAGGCCTGGGCTGGCTCCAGGAAAACCTCTCTATTTACCTCAGCTAACTGAGAGCAGAATTTGGCTTGCTCTCTTTGTCAGCTGCAGGCAATCCCTGTGTGAAACACAAAACTATGGGTGTTCCACTGCAGAACACGATGGCAACAAGCTGAGCAGTCATCTGGACCCTGACACAAACCTGCTCTTACTCATATGGGGGCCAAGCTGGTTTTAGCATGTCAAAACCAAACATCTTATACATACATATATAAAACCRTCCATGTCAAATGTATATTTTCTACATCAATCACATTTTTTCCTCATGATGGCTTTCTTTACCCAGGGAGATTCCAGTCCTAAAGGTGACAGGGGAAGGGAATTGATACTGTGTAGTACCCAACATTTGCAGTARTGCTTTGTGGGATGGTCAGGGACTAACCCCATGGATCAAAAGACATCCTTTCCGTATGAGAGGTTACATGTAACAGACAAAAGATTACCAGCCTGCAACAGCTTGATTACAGCTGTGTTCTAAAAGACCTCATGTGTTTTAACAGAAATCAGCACAGGGCAGTGAAGTACCTCTGGGAGAGCTTCCTCCTCCCTCCAGCCTTGTGTTTCAAAACAACATGGCTTGGGCAGGAAAGGATTCTCATTTTCTTTAACAACCCTGGCCAACTGCAGAGCAGCCGTATGTCGCTGGTATAGAGGATTTAGTTTCCCATTATTATGTCAGAATATATTGAGTATGTTTAATGAATCCTGGTGTAACAGAGTACTTCTATCTGGATTATCAACCACCCTKTATGTATCATCCTAAAAACAGCTACATGCATTTAAGTCTTGACTGAGAACATTGAAGCCTAATCCCAGTACTTTTTTTTTTTTTGCAGGAGGGTAGTGAGAGCAAAATAAAGTAAGTTTAATTATAGGGGAAAAAAACCATATGGATAGACACTGCTAGATGTAAGAGCCAAACGTGACTTTGAAAATTTAAATCTGTTAAATGTAAAAACATATTTTGACAAGAGAGGCCCTGTGCCAATTATATGGTTTTTTTCTGGCATGCTACAAATAAACGTTAGGAAGAAACTACCACAGCACATTCCTATTAGAAAGAGAATGACCAGGGTTCCAGTCTCTGCTTTCCTTACTGCAATACCTGGTTTATTATATGACAGCAATTTTAATACAATAGGCATGGGGATATTTTCCAGTTATGCTTCCTGCCTCTATAGATCTTTAGATTTTTTCATGCAAAGTAAAATAGTTTTGAAGKAATAAGGTACAGCCTCTCCCCTTACTCACCTTCACCTGATGTTTATGCTGTGTTCTGTGAGAMGTGAATTTCAGTCCCTGGAGGTTAAAAAAGAATTTGAACATGGCTTTCCCATACTCCAAGTAAGCAATTTAACCTAAGTGATTCAACCCTTTTACCAGGGTAAAACATGATGAAAACAAGTCTGCATGTTTTTCCTCAGTGCTTCTAGCAAAGGAAACTTATAACTTCTAAAGGGATGCCTAAAGCTAGGGCTATTTATGACTTCTGAACTATATTCAGTTTTGATTGTACAGGACACTGCTTGTATCTATAAACAATACACATTATTTGCAAYAGGCATTTTTTGAATCAGATCCCGGGGATGAGACATGCAAAGAAGTGTCTAAATTAGGGTTATAATGAATCTCTGTCATGAGATGGATACTGAAACCRCACAGGACTGTATTGAATGAGGTTCCTTAGTGCATGGCCAAAAGATGATGTTTCATACTGTGATGAACTTTCCTGCTGCATATGGATTATTTAATAGCTAAGCAGAGTTTTCACAGATCACACTGGTGGATGTAGGGGCTAAACCATGTTTAACTCTCCCTTTGGGAGATAAGTCATTAGCATGTGCTATTATGTGTGTAATACAAATGGTTGARATTACTAAAATTGCATCTACTAATGAGCAGAGGCAAAAAAGTTATATATTTATCTAAGCATTCTGCCTTTTATAGACACTGAGTCTATAGTTGGTTCTAGGTTGGTTTGTTGTGTGTGTTTCGATATGAGGAAGGTTCAGTGTCTTTAATCAAATAAATTATGAAGAAAAGCAGAAATAACACATTATTTTTATCTAAATTTCTAGAGTTTATTCTCATGAACATCTTTTTACTGCATTGCCAGCAGGAAAAAATATGAGTAAAAGCAAGATAAGGAAGGACATACAGATATTCATTGGTTTAAAGTTAGCCGGTATCTGGGTTGCATATATAAGATACTCATGTTACTGTTAGATCATAAACTAAACTGATAGTGAGAATATGCATTTGCAGTACAAAGCAACCGAGAAGAGTAGAGAATTCTACAAATATGAATTACAGAAGTCTCTTGAGGGAAAGAAACCTAAGAACAAAGTGCATTCATAAATCACAGTTAGCATCTACAAAAAAAAATCAGAAAGCAGACAAAGAATTCTGTTTACTTCAAGGTTATATATGCTGTGGTTTTTTGTTTTTTTTTATCTGGAAGGCAACAAATTTKCTGAAAGCCTCCTGAGATATTCTGAGCATAAGCAAATTGTAGTGATATTGAGGAGAGTTGTGAGAGAGCAGCAGCTTTACAGACAAGAAGATGAGAGTGCCTTGTGAGCTTTCCAGGGGCTGAGAGGGCTTGGCTGCAGAAGCTCAGTAAGAAGGCAGCTGACACCTTACAGGCCATCTACATAGCAGCATTTGTCTAGCCCAGTGTGCTGGTGTCTCACATTAAACAATGAACTGGCAATCTGTTCTGTGTCACTGCCTGCTCATACAGAGTGGCAAGTTTAATTGCCTGATGGGACTCACATTCCACATGAGTGCAAGAGTACTCCTCTGAATCAGGGTTCAGTAACTTAATAAAATCCATTATTTCCTTCYGACACAGTGTGCCGTGCCTCAGGCTTCTTGTTCTTGCTACTTGTAAAACAGTCCTTACTTGAGTGATTGGCTCTGTGAGCTATGCTAAATAGGCTATTCATTTCCATTTTCTCCCTGTGTTTTGTTAACTTTTCATGATGTTATTGTAGGTAATCCTTGTCAAAAKGAGAAGATAAATCTAGATATAGTAGACAAATTACTGTAACTGCTGTTCAAGACCAACAGTAATAAGAAATTATATGGTCTCCTTACTGCCTCCTCTTATATTCCAATGAAAAATAGGAGTTGTGGTTCTGGGGCAGCAGTCTGGTCTACAAGCCACTCCCATACTGAGAAAGATCCTCATTACACATCTAGAGATAAATTTGGACTTACAATTCCATATCCTGAGTAATGATTTGCAAGAAAACAGACTTGACCCTGTACTTGCTGTTATGGGGCACAGGGCTGCTAAAGACAGTGTAAAGAACAACTCAGGGTTTTTCTTGAAATGAAATCACTTTGAGATAACCCTCCTATTTTAGCAATCTTCCTTCTCTGGGAATGAGATTTAATAAATATAAATAAAATAATGACCAGGATAATACTTTTCCCATTACTCATTCAAATGATCGCAAAGATTTTACCACCTCCACATTCTAAATATGTTCAATACTAAACATCATCCACAGACCATATGCTACATCTGTTTTACTTACTATTAACTCTGTCACCTCAGCACTGTAATTCCTGATTCATGCTTGAATAATCCAGAGCAGAATTTGACTCACCTTGTATCAAAATATTGTAGATAAAAAGGGCTAAGATTCACCTTAACTTGTATTTTTAGGAACCATTTTCCCCGAAAGGTCAAATTATTCCACAGTAAATTGAAAAACAAGATATCTTATAACTTGTGCAATTCAAAGCAGGGCACACAGGCAAAATGGAATAGAACTTGAGTGAAAAACAGGAAGCCAGGCTCAGCCAGCCAGTCTGTTTATAGAGTGGGATTATTATTATGATTAGCGCAAGTGGACATGGATAACCCTCTTTCTGTTTCTGTGACACATCTGTAGATCATCCTCCATTTAAATCTGTCTGTTGCTTGCTGTGTTACCAGAAAATACAAACCCAAACATCTGTGTTCAGATAGGCACAGCCCCAAAGCAGGAATGCTGTTTAATACCCAGTCAAAATGTGTCATCGATTATAAAACATATAGAGGGCAAATTGGAAATAGTGGTGGCTTGTAGGGGAAGAAAAAAAGGTAATAGGTGAGAGAAATATGTACAGAAAAAGTACCTCTTTTCTTTTTAAATAAGATTATATTCYCTTTGCCTTTCATATGGACTAAAATCAGCTGTAAGGAATCATCTCTCCCTAATTTTRGTTGTATACCAGTCGATTCATTCATGAACAGAACTTGGCATCCTGTTGTAGCAATGTCACTTGTTCTGATTCTCTGACAGTAACAATGGCTTCTAGAAGGATAATTCCTGTTATAACTATTTTAAGTTGCTCAGGAGACACCGGTTGTGCTAGGTTAGTCTGTTATCTAGAAATTGTAGCCCAAGASCAAGAGTGGGCAGTGCATTTCAGAAAATGCTTCTTTTCCTTTTAGCGACTCAATCATTTATCTGATAGACTAAAATCTGTTCCCATGCTTAGAACTCCTGAAAGATAAATCCYGAAAATGCTGACAGCAGGCTACATTTAAGTGAATGATGGTCATTAAATCACTCCCAAAGAAGACTTTGGAAATTCCCTAACAGCATTTTTCTACCTTAAAATCATTCCAATGTTACTCTTCCATTGTACTATGGATGTATGTACTGTTATATTGAGAATTATTTACCTTGTCCAAGACTTCCCTCATCCGCTTCAGTCCTTTGGTCATCTTGTTCTGCTGACCAAAAAAAGCTCTGTATTCAAATCCAAGAACATCTGTGTTATTTTGTGTGATTTTGTGCACAAGATTTTTCATCAATAATCTGGGAAATGAGTTTTACAATCCTTTATGGACAAAGTTTTAGGCTTAAGCTCCATATTAACAGAATGCTACAGTCCTTCATATCAAAACAAACAAAATCACTCTCAGCATCCTCTGTATTTTCTCAGCCATTAGAGAGTCTTGTGGCTGATGCCATGCATCCACTAATGGCCATCCTGGGATATGGCAGTAGCAGCAAGGTTTTTGAAAATTTCTTCCTATTTCACACTGCTGTGAAAGTGGGTAATCGATATCCATTAGAGCAGGCTTAGAGCCTGTGGTAGATCCTATTCCTAAGACATTTCTGGAAAGAAGAACTCTATTACTTCTACTCTTGTGAAAGTAAAATAATGGCAACTTGGCCCCAGATAAAACAGATGTACAAAATGAATATGTCAGCCTAGTAACTAAGAGGTAAGCTCTACATGTCCCTGAGCTCTTAGGAAAATTCGTAAGAGTTTTCATATAGCTTTCTGAAGAGTAATTGGACCTGGCTRTGAATACTGCATGAAAAACGGGAGTAATTTGGTTCAATTTTGCCATAAATTAAAATATTTGTCTTCAGTTGTATGCATGGAAATGCTTTGGGAATCATGAGATATATTTGAAAATTAAATTTCATCCTAGAAAAAAACAAGAGGACAGTTTAGTGTTCACATCTTGAGCACCTGTGAAGTTAGTCCACTGCCTTTGGTGCAGCAGTTTTCTCGTTCTTGCAYGACAGCTTGACTCCATTCAGTGTTTACCCAACTCCTCAATGGGCTCAGCCAGGGAAAACTGTGCCTGAGCCAGCCCATATGTGCTGTTTTGTTTAAACTTGATCCATATCTACATAATTATCAGTCATACCAATGTATTGCAATTTAGGTACAGCATTACCTTMTTTTCCTTCTATTTCCATCTTTTGTTTTTCTCTCTTGTAGCTTCCACTTATCATTATGTTAAAAAYATGAAAAACACATATTCTTTCATGGTTAGGCCACAAACATATTTTTCCTTCTGTATAGATGTATTATTTTTGTGATTTTCTGAGATTACACTATAGCAAAGAAGCAACAGTAAAATCAGCAAGTTAAAAGATGGAAGGAAACCTAAAGATCACAAAACCTAAGACTCAGTAACCAAAAATTACCCTTTCATCTTTCTTTTTTCTTCCACAGCATTCTGACTCCAACTCTAACCTGAAGAAACGAGTAAACTCCATAGCATCTCAGGCAGAGCAGTCTCCTGAACCCAGCATAATATCAAATACTGCATCCCAGTGTCAACCACTGTCTGTTCCTCCACCAGCCCCACCACAACCACCAGCTATTGGAGGCGCAAGTAAAATAGACCAGTATTCCAGGATCCTCTTCCCAGTGGCATTTGCAGGATTCAACCTGGTGTACTGGGTTGTTTACCTTTCAAAAGACACTATGGARGTGAGTGGGAAATTTTCTGAATACTTGTTTATAATATGTGATATACTTACTTTTCCATTGTTGTCCATTTACTCTTGCAACTTCAGTTAATCAATTCTTTCTGAGGAATACTAGAATGTTTTCTCAAAAAAATCAGCTGGAGCACTCAGTACAATGCAGAAAAGTYGTTTGAGGAGGGGAAATGTAAGCAYTTCTCTCCAACCCATGCTGCACTGAGCAGAGTATGCTGTGTAAGACAGCACAGGATGTCATCCTCAGCAAATATATGATCTTAAAGCTTYTATTTCTTAACCTGCAGTAAGGAATTGTAGAAATATCTGTCAAAGCAATGCAGTGAAGGAGATAAGAACTTTAATATCCTAAGGTTTTCTTAAGGAACTAGTACAGAGAGTCTTCCCAAAAAGTTTGTTATTCATTTTATGAAGGATTAATAACTGCAGTATAAAGTTTGTGAATCAAGAGTCCCTAKTTTTGTACATTTCAACACCTTTATACTGTTTTTTCATATAACTGCACTCTTAGGCAGATAAAGCTGATAAAATCCTTGCTTAAGTTTGTTTGAATCAGGAAGAGTGATCACATCTCTAGATATCTGTGAGGTCCAGAAGCGATGTGTGCTCTGCAAATTGAGCATGTCTGCAATAATCAGTCAGTAATCAGTCATTAAACTTTGAGTCTTTAATGCTTTAAATCTCTATTTTCCCCCCTTTTTGCCTAAATACAGTTAATGGTGTCCTATTTCCTTGGTAAAAAATATATTCATTTGCCTCGTTGCCATAGAGTTTTGTATGTCACTGTACATTGTAGTCAATGTGATTGGTACATTTAAGCTTTATTTAGGACAGCTAGAGACACAATGATGGTATTTAGATAGCACCAAATGCACAAAGTCCCTACATCAATAAAAGCAGAGGCTGAGAATCTGGTATGAGTGGAGATCAGGCTGTACCTTTATTTCCTGGATTAAAGACAGAGCAGGCTGAGGGAAGCCTCATGGGCAGCCAAGGGATGTTTCAGTTCAGAGGAAATGAGAGTGCTGATCAGCTGGTTGGTGGCACCTTGCCTCTGCTAGAAGGCTGATGCTCTACCAGCCTCTAATTTTGCTGATTTTTGTTACTAGTATGATCTGGAATATGCTGTCTGTCAGATCTGGAATATGCTGTCTGTCAGAGATGAAGTGTGCTGCCAGGCAGTTTGTATGGAATTGTGAGGGCAGGAAGGTAGGAGACACTGTCTCTTAAAAATGTTCCTGCAGATGTCTCTCTCAAGAGGTCACAGCTGCCAGCTCCTGGCCACTCCAACCCTGCCYAGTGCTAAATTTAGCATTTGTGCCAGAGTTACTGATCCTGCTGTTAAAATATTGACTATGTGTGCAAATTACTTATCTCAGTCAGAGAAGGGAAGTATTGAAAAAGCTCCTGTCTGATCATTACARCTCCTGTTTAGAGGCCAGCTCCTCAGCTTGCAGAGCTTGCTGAGACTCCAGTGATTCCATTCAACCATTCACATTTTGGATCTAGAAATATTTGGAACATAGTTGCCATTTCCCTTGGTAGTGATAAAATATTTACACTAAACCTCGTATATTAATAGTAACATTAGAACCAGGCTTTTAAAATACTTCCAAAGTCTAGGACTAAGTGCTGACCATAAATATTTTTAAATGCTACTGTGCAAGTAGCACAAACATTCTCAGAAGCTCAGAAATTATGTTCTGTAGCATTACAGAATGACAGAAATCCAGCAGCAAGATTTAGAAAACAGTACTGACAGCTGGGATGTTTTGAATTATGTACAATTTGATCAAACTTTTCTTCCTAAATTACAATTCCCCATTTGTGTACTCAATCCTAACTAATAATTGTGATATATACTGCTGGGTTTCTAATTCAAATGTTGTATCACTTTACCAGTTGTTACTTTCAATAGCCAGGACTGGTTTTGCTTTAAAAATATATTAAAAATATGTAAGCTTTTCCTTTCAAACAGAAGAGATACAAAAGTTAGGTGAGCAAAGCATGGTGTGCCTCAAGGTCAGTTAATCTGTGGCTCCCTCTGGCCCACTAGATTTAATGTTGTTACAGTATTATTCATTTTAATCAATTCAAAATGTGCATTTTGTGCAATATTTCAGGTATGTTAGCTTTTCTGAGTTACTTTTTTGAGTTCATATGGTTTTTGTCTAAAAACACAAAGAGGAAAAGCAGTCTAATTAATTAATTGAAATAAATTTCCAGTACATTAGTTCTTGTAGTGAAGGCTTCTAGGATTTTGATTAGTGTAGTTTGGAGTGCTGAACATCATTCACTACTTCATGTTCTTAAACTGAACAGCTGCCTACTGGCTTTGGAGGTACACAGAGAACAAATCAAGCATTTCATGAACCTGTTTGTGAAAGCAGATTATTAGCACTGGAATCAAAGGTCGTTTTCAACTCCTGTCATTATTTTCTGGCCAAACTGACTTTGAAAGACAGAACAGTTTTTTACATCATGTTCTGGATTGAGAGCCTCGGCTGGGATGAGCAGCCTTGTTAATATAATGACACAGAGTTGCATGAAATGAGGAGCTCTTTTCTAAGCTGTTTGGTAGTAGTTCTGTACACTACTAAGCAATTTTCTTATGGCTTAAGTAATGGGCCATGTGTTACAGAAATGAAAAAGTCATTTGGTGTATTGTATCTGATAAGATTTATGAGAACCTTAAGGACTGAGTACTTTTCAAAGTGCTCCTTGGGTAATTTTTTCTTCCTTGTCCATTTAACAATTTCAGGATAATAACCTTTTCTCCTATTAGACATGTAAACTAAGAGTACTTGAATTACACTGAAATTTTTTTAATTGGAAGTCTGTATAAAGAAGAAGGTGTTTCTAATAAAATGTATGCCTTTAAACATTTGAATGTTACCATCATAGACTGCTTTGGATTTGAAGGGAGCTTGAAGGTAATAGAATTCCAYACCTCTGCCATGGACAGGGACACCTTCCATTAGACCAAATTGCTGCAAGTCCAATCTGAACCTGAAAAATCCCAGGGATGGGGCAGCCACAGCTTCTCTGGGCAAGCTGTGCCAGGGACTCATCACYCTCACARGGAGGGGCAGCCAGGGTTGGACAGACATCAAAAGTATCTTAGACTGATCTCTATGCTTTCATTGCAAAATTAATAYTTTTTCTATATTTTAAAGCAAAAGAGCATCATTCTCAGAAGAAAAAAAAACAAAATGAAAAATCCAATTTGAAATCAAGTGATTCATCTGAATGCTTTTTATAAATGGAGGGTGGTAACATTCATCCTCTGATCTTAAAATTTAAATAAARGGTTCAAGTCTCCATTTGAACAAGTGGGAAAACATTCTATAGCAGTCATCCACTGTACAACTTGACACATARCATATTTCATGGTAAATGGGTTTGCATTGAGGAGTAGCAATAGCATCTCAGGACAAAAATTGTATTGGTCAAAGTAAAGAAATTAAACTTAYATTGTGTAATAGCTCTGTCTGCATTTTGCTAGATGGTATATTGGCAGAACTTAACATAATTAAAGGACTACAAAATCTATGAAATAACAAATGCCAGTTTTTAGACCACAGAAAATGCTGATATTTGTAGGATAAGCTCCCCTTTCTCTCAGAAGGTTTTATAAGTTAATGCTGACAGGTGGTTAACTGTAGTGATATCACTGTGCTATTTATAATGTGAAAAAAATAAAGCATCAGAGTCACTCTCAGAGGACTTGCTCCCTCTCTRTGTAAGGTCAATTAAACTAGGTGGAAGTTTTGAGGATGTGGCATTCCCATGATTTATAGGTGGGGATGGAACAGGTACGTTTCTATAGTTCATGTTCTTCTGTAGGGTACAGTAATATCTGCCAAACACAAGAAGCTCTGCACAGTAACAAACAAGACATATTTGTCTAAATTAGCCAAAAAGAAAAGATCTTGAAAGAAGAGCAAACCTTTCTGGCAAATGAGAAAAATATATTCTAGCTTTTTATTCTGTCATACGGGATATTTTGGCTTTGTTTTCTGTTTTAAATCTTGCTAAGTCCTTGAGCTGAATACTAATTTATGACAGTGACCTTGGTAGGTGAATTGCTAACTTAGTTTATTTTAAAATTTGCTTGATTTAGAATGCAAGGAGTCCCCTTTTAAAGAGAAGGCTKCAAGTACTTTTCTACCTTTACCATATAATTCACAATACATATGCCACTGCCACATCATCTTATTTTTAAATTTATCTATCTTAATTTTTATATATAACATTATATTATAGTTTCTCATGTAATAAAACATGGAATGATGGAGTGAATCAAACAAGAGAAGGAGATGATGTTAAAATTTTGATGATAAATGCAGAAAAAGAAGCAGAGGCCAGCTTTTATGTTTGGGAGCAGAGAAAGATACAAAGTCACTGAATGGACCAAAGTTGCTGAGTCCTGGATATTATTTGGATGCAGAGAACATAGCAGGATGGCAGGAAAAGAGTTACATAATAAGTTGAAAATGCTAATGATGTCAAGTGGGGAGAAATAAGAACAGAGAAAGAAACAAGAGCAGGAAAAGTGTTCAGCTTCAGTACATTGATATTCATAAAGCTTGTAGTGCATATTGTTACATCATGTTTCAGATTAARCATTGGAAAAATAAAGTTTGGGAGGAACAGTCATTGCCACGCACACTTAACAACTGAGCTTTGATGATGCAGGTAATGAGCATCAAATTCTAAGAGGATTCTCCCTTGTAATGTGGTTCTATTTTGAGTACTGAGAGTTAGAAATCACGTGGGTTAGTTGGTTAACTCTATGTTAACAGTGGTTAACAACCCACAGCTTAAACCTCTCTCTAAACTTTTCTTCCAGTTTTTTGAACCTTCKGCAATGCATTTTCGAAATGACCCTCAGTCCAACTGAAGAACAGCTCATGATCTCAAGGAAATTGCTCAAGGTCACAGAGAATTGAAGAAACTTCAAAGGATTTGTCTGTCCACARGTGCTCTCGGTTTTCACACAGGGAATATCTATACTGGACATCACCTGGATGCAAAATCTGGAYAAATCAAGAGCTGCAAACTCCTTAGAGTTCTAACAATATTTTCTTAAAATTTCTTACAGTGATTCTACGACAAAAGTTCTTGTTGAATTATTTTGTTCAATTGTCAAAGGAAAGAATATTCATTTGTCCTAAAACATTTGTAAACAGTTGAATGTTTACATTGATGTGAAAAATCCATAAAAGGGTTTGGTTTTTTTTAATAGAGTAAGGATTGCTAAACTCAGCTGATTCTGAAATGGTATTACTTGGCATAGTTTCAGTGAAAAGTTAGGAGTTGTACTGATTTCCAGCACTTGAAATTGACCCCAAATAATGTTGGAAAGAAATCCCATGAAAAGGAGATGCAATTCCATCATTTTTTAACCCTTTCGTATCAATGATAAGGGATTAGTTCTTGATTTACTTTAAATTTCATTTTCACCTTTGAGATGACATTTATAAAGAATGAGATACAAGAAAAAATGGAAATAGTTATTTTTTGTGTACTTTAGCTGATTAGTTACCATAGTGTAACTTTCTTTGTTGAAAGGCACCGTGGAAGTTCAACCAGACTAATAACAAGCAGTTTCCCGGCAGGATCTAGAAATGCAGGACTGAAACGTCAGGGAGTTTTCAAGGTCTAAAGCTGAATAGACAGAAAGATGCAGCTCCCATCAGGCTGAATGCAGGCCTCCAGCTCCAGGGGACTTCCTGGAAGCAGGTCCTGATAACTGGWTAAGGAACAAGCTGCTTTTTATCAGCTGATTCTACTGAATTGCCTGTAGCAAACTCCCTRGAATTTTTTTTCCAGAGCCAAAGTTCTGTCAGCACATTCAGAGTTTAAAGGTAATAATATTTTGTCACTTACAGCACCGACAGTCACAGAATTTCTTCATTCACCCTTCATTTCCATGATCCTTCTCAAGAATATAATTAGGAAGCACCTGCCTAATTAAACAAATCCAAGCCAAAATTATTGCAGGTGTARTGGACATTGGGAGGAGTCAGAAGCACACAGAGAAGTTTCATTTGAAGCCAAATAAAAATTAAGGATTCCATCCTATCGTGAAATTAATTTTAGTACAAGATTAACCGGAAACATTAACTAATGCACAGATTCTGGATATTCAGGGAATTCTGCTTTGTCTAAACAAACATCTTAATCCCTGTGAGAAAATATTTATAGGCTGACTAATTGATTGCAGTAARTCATCAACTGTTTTATTGGTACTATAACCTTTTTAACTATTTGATGGCCTTGCTCCAGYTGTTCTCCTYCTCCTATTTCAAGAGYTTCTGCTAGTGGTGGCTGGACTGAACATAGGAATCCTTCTTGTACACCCTATTCTCTAACTCTGAAGGGCTTCAATGGAACTGTTTAAGGATTTGACTCAATAATAAATATTGTTTGCACAGAGATGTCACATTTGCTTTTTCTGACTGGCTGCAGGCTGGCACACTTGGATGTATTTGTAAGTGCACTGAATTCTTTTATCATTTTGCTTTGAAACGGAAATTTTCCTGTTTTCAGCCTTTATATGCTGTTGTAAGAAAAAAATTAAACTATGGATACTAGGCAAGTATTTTATAATTTGTAAATACAACTTGTTTTGAAAAAAAGGAAATTATTTATGCTGTAGGGACCCAGAAGTTATTTTTTARAGTAACTATACTCATTCTTGCTTCACTGACTAATTTCTATTTTGAGTACATTAATATCTGTAAGASTTTCTAGAGCACTTTAAAAGTGGTTTATGCACAAAATGAAAATGTTTATAAGCAATGGTAAAACAAATGACACTAAAGAAGCTAAATTTTATATCCAGTCTTTGCTTAGAAGAAAACTAAATATTAATTTTACAGCAGATGCAGATAGTAACTAAATAGTCACTATTTTCTTGAAGTCTAGTATTTCAGTATATAAAATGGTGGCAACTTCCAGATTAGGAAGATGTATCAGCATCTTAAAAATGTGCTAGTGRCTCTTGGTATTTAACAGCACATTTCAACATGAGCACAAAGACTGCTTATCTTTTTTTTCCAAAGAGCTTTTTGTGTGGATATGACAGAGAAGAGTTGGTTCTCCACAGCTTTTTGAATGGTAGGRAGGGAATGTGTATTTTTCCTGTTACATGCTTTGTAGAGACACAGGTGTAATCAATAATGTTAATAATGTCAAGTTATATCTTAGAATAAATGTAATTACTTACAATTAATGTCAGTTCTTAACAATCCCGGTTATGATCAAACACTAACCAACCAAGCAAGACAGTAAAAGAGCAAATAGAAAAAGGTTTTATATATATATATGTATATATTTCTGTATGCATATATACATATGTATTTCTGTAGAAAATATAAATAATAAATAAATAATACTATAATAAATAATAAATATTTCTTTACTTAATACAGAAATTAGGGGATATGGGTTTCTTCCAGGTTTCTTACWGGTGCAGGAACTTAGAAGCCAGAAACATCACAGATGTCTTTGTAAGAAGCTCTGTRTAGAGTGGACCTATTTGTACTTCTCTCCCACATACAGAAATTCTGTATCAGAAATTCACTTCCTAGTTTGAGATGTGTTCATTAACAGCTCATTACAGAGCAGTCACAGGAGTATTATTGTGTGCTTGAAATAAATTAAAACCGCTGGGTAAATGTGCTCTACTCAGGACCAATAAGCAGCAAACAAAGCTGAGTGAGCTCATAATTCCAGCTGTACTAGAAGTTAAGATCCACATGACTCCAACACCCTGCCTTTATTTTAAGTAATTTAAAAGTAATTTATTCACTCACAAGGTATCATTTCTTTGTGGACTGATCATGAAGTCACTTTAATAAGAGAACACCTTAATATTCGGAAATCACCAGGAAAGTATCCAGGTCAGTGACGTGCAAGCTCAGACCTTTTCTCCCTGCAAGTTCCATTTGAAGGTGCAGCAATCTCAAAACATTTCTCTTGACACCCTTGCAAGGAAAAAAAATAATTTCTGGAGTTGCTAATGGGAAAAAAGTAATTGGAATCTGTTCTGATTTTAGTACTAAAATGAGAAGGCAAAACTGGATTTTGTTATTCTGTATTTATGCAAAGGACAGTTTGCTCATTACGATTATTCAAATAAATGTCATTTGTGATGGTCTCCAAAAAGGCACACAGACAATTACAGACACATTAAAACTTACATTTCCCATCTGAGCCATATTCCTTATTGGCCACTCTAACATTTCCTCAAAGGCTGRGAAGATGGAAATCTGTTGGCATGATTACAGAGAAAATGTGGAGCAAAGAGTCATTTGTTTATAGTGTTGAAGGACAGGGAGTCTTTAGTTCCTTGGTATCCCTGGAGCAGCAGAAATGTAACAWCACTTGGACCTAGAGCAGACCAAGCACCTGCTGCTGAGTGTTCTTCCCCTGACAGGTCACTGTCCATGGCAGCCAAAATGTCACATGGAAATGAGCATCACCAAAGGTAAGCAGAGAGCACTCAGGTCAGCACAACTCTGCTTGACATTGTGCTCAAAGGAAAACGTTTCATTCTAGAGAAAGTAAAAAATTTCCTCAGAACCTGTCAGGGCCCAGTTTTCCTCTGTCAGTTCTCATTTTATTCTGCATGCTTTTCTGGGCAGTTTAATGAAAACAGGATAGGTTTGGTCAGTCTGCAGTCRCAAGGAGTGACACCATGGATGTGTCACTGCCACTTAAACCTTTCTACAGAAATGCTTTCCTTAGAGGGAGTACAGGTCCTTCTGTCTAGGGGAAATTCTGAGTATGGTTTTTATTTCTGTGAAGTGCAGCCAATCCCGTGCCAAGGCTCAGTTTGCATCTGCATGACAGGACTGCACAAAGGCTGCTGGATGGAATCTCCAGTAGGGGAAAGGGAAAATAAAGGGCTGTGGATCAGGCACACAGCAGAAATGGTTCTTGCACCAGAAAGCTTTAATGTAGAACTGGACAGAAAAWTGAGCCTACCTTCCCTCCCTGTGAGATTTTTATCAGTATAGATTAAAGCAAAACATTCATGTAAATTATTCCGGGATTTTATTAAAATCAAAATATTAGTTATCAAAATTGTTTCTTTGTTCATTTTAGTGCTTCTGGCTAAATTTTTTTAGGTTTGAGTCCAAACTGTATTGCAATTCCCACCACACCTACCTTAAAGATGCTGGATGATTTTTCACAAAAAAAACCAAAAAACCCTGGAAACATTCTCTGGTGGGCAAAAATTTTGTATGTTGAAGAGACCAATTTTCCTCTGTCYTCTGAAAAACAGTATCACCAGAAATGAATCAGATTTTAGTTACCTATWATTTATCCCAGATGCAGGAGAGCTGGGAAAGTCAAAATGTGGATGTTTAAGGAACTTACTTCTTTCCTGATGATGATGATCAGCTCACAGTAGAATAAGTGACAAAATGCACGACACACACCCAGGATACAATTCCTGGGATAGCATGACTTTCACTATGAAGAACTTCAGAGAGTTGGAACTCCTTTAATTTGAGACAGCAGTTCCTGCTGCAAATTTGAAGATGAAACAGATTGAAAAGTCTCTGAACATCTGATGCCATCCCCACGCAGCAGAGCAAAAGCAAACGTGGCCTCCAGAGGAAGAGCCACAGGGGCTGAGAGGAGCAGAGCAGCCACCCCAGACCGTGCAGGGATATAAAATACAGGCAGGAGTGTCCAGAGACTTTCAAAAGGACACAAGGGGGATGAACAAAGCACCGCTGATGTGCCAGCAATGTAATCTGCTCAATCTGTGGGCAAGAGGAGGAGGAGTGGATAGCCCTGCACAGCWATGAGGAATTCTCACCTGATTTCGGGGAATGGTGATAGCCTGACTTGGACAGTGAAGGTCTGCTGTTCAGACACTCCCTGGCAGGGAGTAAATGCCTCAT